TTTCTGTCTCTGCTACACTCACTTTTAACTACCATGGAAAAAACAAACTTTTTTCCCCTTCAACATAAAAAGATTGTATCTTTTGCATTCTCTCGGTACTAAAGCACTCTTAAAACTGAAACCTGTCTGGCTGCTCAGAGAGCTGGCACACATATTTCTACCCGCTGAGTGGAAGCAGGCATGAACTGTCAAGAGCAATTCCTGAAGAAAGGTCACAGTAAAGAAGAGAATAATATCAGTTTCAGAAAATACATTTGCTCTCTAATAATGAAAGCAAATGACTCTACCCAGCAGCTCAATAACCTGCTCCTACAATAGTTCTGCATGAACTCCACTGGCATGGCAAGAAGCTCTCCTCATCACTAAGTACTTCCAACCCTATGTTTAACGCAGGGCAGAGATACGTCACTTCGGGTTTAAGTGTGTTAGGAAGGCATTCACTGAAACAGGTGCTGAAACGGTAATAATTCCTTGTAAGGAAGCATAGAAGAAAGGCTTCCATGCAACAGCAGCCTGAAGTAGGAACCAAGCAACCTGGTCTCCTCTAAGAACCAAGACGAAGCCCTGAATGAGAATCAAGACAAGACTTGTGTCTATTTCCTTCTAGAGAGCATTCCTGACTTCTACATACTGCCAAGACCACTCCTAATTTTCACAGGCTGACAACATAATTGGTAAGATGGTCATAAATAGCTTTTTCAAGGACAAAAATTGTATTCTGATCCTGACGCATCTTCCATTCACACACAGTAATCTTTTAAAGACTTTTACTATCAAACTAATTCACTGAACTCGATCCATAGACCTTGAGGGCAAAAACAATTGTCATCTTCCGTACCAGGTAGGCAGAAACAACCAGTCCAAAAATGACTTTCTATTGTCACCAATAAAGTGCTAGCTAACGTCTGCGCGTCTATCAGACAGATGACTCACTCCATCTGGTAGTTTACTTGAGAACAAGGAAAGAAACCTGAATTCTTGTACCCACCTGAAACAAACTGCCTACACCTCCAATTTTGTTCTTGAGACACGAGCAATTTTAGGATCTGTACTGGTTGCAGTTGTGCATGCCCAACCTCAACTAACTGCATGCTTACGCTTCCAACTTTTTGTCACGTATTTCTGAAGTAAATTAAGCCTTCTACTTCAAATACACTATTTGTGCAAGCACGGAAGCTACAACAAAGGCAACATTCCAAAGTATGACCCCACATTGTGATGTGGAGCATTCAAATTGATGGCTTCTGGTATTTTACCTTAAGTAACAGCAGTTGCTGTGAGAGACTGAACGACATACTACTGTCACCACCAATACTGTGCTGTTGCATGCTTGCTTTTCAAAAGCCCCATGAAATGTACATGGGATTCTTGAAGAACTCCCAGCTCTAATGGAGGAACATGTTCTGTGACTTCTGCCATGCGCTCTCGCTCATATATTAATGATACTGAGTACGGTATCAGACATCTTAGCACAACACTTAAAGTATAATGAAGGCTTACTAACCCAGGCACTAAATAGGCTGACTTTTAAATAACATTAATTATATCCTAGAGCAACATACTTCAGCAGAAAAGCTACTCGATGCGAGGAGAAATTTTAATATGAAAGCCCACAAATTTAACTTCTTATTTTGAAAACACAAGTGAGGATATGACATGATTTTCTAGAAAGAAAAAAAATCTGCAGTAATTTAGCTGCTTGCCCTATCTAAATATAGAGTGAACATTCACACTCACAATACACATAATAGCCCATCGTAAACACAAATGAACATACAGAGCTCTGGAAATACTCAAATTTAAAGTTCCAAACAAAAAATGCTGTTTCTTTCCCAGTTCCTGAAACTTGGGTAATGAAACCAGATTAAACAGTCTGCTTTCTGACTAGCACACTAATGAAAAACAATTCTTTCCCACACAAAGAAATGGATGTGGAAACCCCAAGAGAAAGCTGTACAGTTTGATTAAAAAAAAAGTCAGCATCTTGGAAAGCTCATTTATTTTTATTGGAGTTAGCATACAAAATGAGCGAGATGCCAAACAACGCGAGAGCATTTTTAAAAGCATTCAGTTAGCCTCCACTGTAGAATCCCAATTCTACACCATTTTGTTCATCAGCTTCCGTAATACAGATTTCCACACATCTTTCAATGTCATCTTGTTTACAGATGAGCTTCTTGTATAAATATGATGGGAAGCTGCGTTATTATTAGAACCAGGGCACAAAACTCTGCTGTTGCTTATATTTTAACTACTTTTTCCCCCATCACTGCAACCCAGCTGGCTCAAAAGTGAAACCTCACCAAACGTAACTATTCCTGGATACCTATTATAAGTGCATTCAGGAAACTACTTTTAGGGCAGTACTCAGTCAGCTAACTACAATACATTAAGAGGAACATTTTTGTATTGACTTTTGTATTAACAAAAACCAACTGTTTACCCAAAGCCGGGGGGGCTGCTAGTCAAGTCATGTCCCAAAAGCAAGTAACTTCATATCCAGTTCTTCATCTCTTAACTGGAATAGTAATATTAAAAGTTTGTCAGCAACCAAAAGCAGATCCTCCAACAGATACTGCCCAAAGAGCATTTAATTTTAAATCAGATATAAAACAGACTACCACAGGAATTCCTCTGGTCAACTTGTGCTGATGGATGTTTGCATCCTACTGAATTGCTGCTTACTTTATACTATGAAGATGCTCTCCACAACCGCATTTAGTTTGATCTAACACAAGGAAAACTAGTTTGCTCTTTGGTAACTGATCACCTGAGCAACCCAGACAAGATGTGAAATCCGAACATGAAGTCATCGTAATTATTTCAGGCTTGAGATGACTTGAAGATTAGGCCCTCACTCATGTAAGTGCCAAAGAACGTAACAGAAACAGAAGTTATGGGGTAAGGCAGGGAGGGCTGCAGCTCACCTCAGGATTACTTCTGGTACTTATTTTTGTGTTAACTATAGCACCAAATGCATACTTACCTACAGAACAGCAAAAGCAGAACGCAGTTTATGCAATTCAGGAAACCATCAACATCATGTAAAAATCTACTTTCAGCAATACCTACAAATACAGAAACTATATCTGAAGCACTGGTTGCTTTTCCTATTCACTCTCTCACTCCTTCCCATCAGGACTTACCTTGACCAGCAAATACCCATTAAAACACGTTGCCCAAGCGTAGCAGGGTGTGCACCTTTTGGTTTGAACATGTTTCAGAAATACAGCGTCAATCCTAGTCTAAACAAGTCCAAAGGGAGAGTGTGCACTGAAAGCCTGCCATTGTACTGGAGTTGGAGCAATTAAACAAAACCAAGACAATTTAATAGTGCCTCTATAGAGAGAAAACGTTGCTTTAACCACACCATTTTCTTAGCTTGTGCAGTTTAATTGGTACGGCTTGCTTTTTTTCTTTAAAAAAAAAAAAAAAAAAAAAAAAAAAAGCCCTGCAATCAAGCCTTTGAAGTCAGATTTTTCCAAAACACCCAATGACAGCTCAGCGTGTCCATTCAACACCTAACCTTGTTTCCCTCTCACCAGCTTCACCTTCTGCACTCAGGAGCAGGAAGAAAGGCACGACAGGTTCATATATGAACATTAACTAACAGCTTGAAGTCAACCACTCCAACACCTAAATAAGCAACCTAAGGGTAGGTTCAACCTAGGCACTTCCCGGTTACACCGGTTAAGAGAAATATTTGCGCTGCCTCTGAGCTGGCAGAGGTCCTGAGGCAGACGCTTCAGAGCACTGTGCACAGTGCTGCACATTCAGCGCACAGTGCTGGGACAGCTTCCCTTGCTCCATACCAACCATGCTTTGCCATCATTGAAGCCGGGTTTACATGGGGCCCTCTCCAAAGGTTTATGGCAACCTTGGTGTAAGCCTGCACTAAGGGCTGCCCAAGGAAGTCAGGAGCACCCCATGTTTGAAGGGTCTGGTCGTGAGCTGTGAGCTCAAGTTGTAACTTTGTGCTTGCGGGGCATCCCACTTTTACAAAGTGACACAGACGGGTGAAAATAAATCAGCACAACGTGAAACGAGGGTGAAAGGAGCATGCAAATGCTTACAGCTAACAAAGAGAGCCAGAGGGAAATACAGGAATGCATTTTCCAGTAGAACAGCAGGGACAAACCGTGTCCCCTGCTTCCAGCTGCAGGGCTACCGCTTGCATAGAAGGCACACGGGAAAAGGAAAAAAAACAAACCTTGAAGTTCAGAACCGTAATTGGGATTTCGCGCGAACGGGCGCGGAGCCGCAGCAGAGGCATCGGCCCGTTCTCACCCTGCGGACCTCTCCGCACTCGGAGGGGCCTCCGGCCTCAGCAGCACAAAGCGGGTGGAAGCCCCTGGGGGCCGCAGGGCAGCCGGGGCCGGGGCCCGCGCCGTACGCCGGCTGCTCCTCACCGGTGCCGCCCCGATCCGACGAAAGGACGACGAAAACGGTAGGAGGAACGGGGCGGGAGCGCCGCGGGGACAAATGAATGGGGCGCACGGAGCCGGGTCCCGTGTGGGAGCGGGCAGCCCCCGCCCGGCGCTGTTTACATCGCGAATCCCCCAAGGGGGGATTCCCCCTCCCCGCCGCCCGCTTCCTATCGATCTCACAGGGAGCAGCCCAGCTGCTGCAATGCAACACACGCCGGGAAGGGGCAGAGAAAGGGGGGGGGAAAGGAAAAAAGAAAAAAAAAAAAAAAAAGAACGAAGAAGAAGAATGGAGAAAGAAAGGCGCTGGGCCGCCGTGCGGGCACACCTCCGTCGCGGGAAGGGGCTCCCCGGCCGCACTCCGCCCGGCCCCGCCGCCGCCCCCAGGCCCCTCAACTTCGCCGCCGCGGGGGCCGGGGCCGCCCCTCCCCCTCCGCCGCCGCTAACAATGGGCCCCTCCCCCGCGGGGCTCCCCTCGGCCCGCCGCCCTCCCCCCGCCCCAGCCCCCCGCCCCAGCACCGCGCCGGCCGCCGCGCAGGGGGCCCCGCCGCCCCCCGCCCGGCCCCGGCCCCTCACCTCATGGTGCCGCCCGGCGCCGGGAGCCGCTCCCGCTGCCTCGTTCAGCTCCGCGCTCTCCCCCGCCCTGCCGCGCTCTCTCCTCGCCGCTCAGCTCCACTCGCCGCCGCTCCGCGGGGCCCGGCGCCTCAACGGACAGCGAGAGCTCCGGCAGCCGGCACCTTCCGCCCTCCCGCCCGTCTCCGCCGCTCCCTCCGCCGCCGGGCCGGGCCAGACCACCGCGGGGCGCCGGGGGTGGGAGGGGACGGAGAGGTGGGGGAAAGGGGCGGAGAGGAGCGAACCAACGCGCGGGAAGGGCGGGGGGAGGTGGGGAGGAGGGCGGGAGCGCAGGGGAGGCCGGAGACACCGGCGGGGCCGCGGGAGGGCGGGGCGAGGGCGGGCACGCCCACCCCGTGAGCGGCGCCGGCACCGGGGGTGCGCACCTCCTGTCGCCGGGGGTCGCGGGGAGTGCGCCCAGGTGAGGGGCTGGGGGCCTTGTCCGGAGGCTGGCCCTGCGCCGCCTGTGGCCTGCGCCCACGGCACCGAAGGTGCCCCGGGCCCAGCACTGCCGCCGGGAGAGGGGAGGGCTTGTCCCGCTCCGCTCCGCGCTGAGCTGCCTCACCTCCTGCACTGGGTGCAGGCTGCGTGCCGCAACATCAAACATAGTTGTGTTACAGGGCATCCAAAAGAGGGCAACAAAGATGGGGAAGGGTCTGAAGGCGACGTGTGTGAGGCCCCTGGGTTTGCTCGGCCCAGAGCAGAGGAGCTGAGGGGAGGCCTCATGGCGGCTGCAGCTCCTCACAGGGCGTGGAGGGCAGCGCTGAGCTCTGTGTGACAGCGACAGGCCTGAGGGAACGGCGTGGTGTTGGGTGTTAGGGAACTGCTCTTCAGCAGAGGACAGTGGGCAGGGCCACGAGTTGCTGGAGTTCAAGTGGTGTCTGGACAATGCTCTGAGATGTAGGGTTTGGATTTTGGGCGCTGCTGTGTGGAGCCAGCGGTTGGTCTCTGAGACCAGTGTTTTGAGCACATGGCACAGAGGTTTCAAACTGGCTCTCCTTCAGCCCAGTTCTGTCCAGCACTGACTGCCTGTTCTCTTTGGTTTCAGTCAAAGGAAATGAGGAGCAAGGATCACTCCAATTTCCAATGGCATGAAGGAGATTTAGTGCTTTTGCATCACTGATTTTATCTTTCCTTTGGAACTGCCATTCTTTTCTAGCATTTAGTTATTAAAAACATATAGGATATGAGAAAGAAATGTATGTGTACTTCCTTTGTAAATTTCTAGATTTTCAGATATAAAAAGGTACAGAATTTTAGAAATTATATGGAATTACAGAATATGCTGAGTTGGAAGGGACCCATAAAGATCACTGAGGCCAGCCTCAGGCTCCGTGCAGCAGCACCCAAAATCCCAATCCTGTGTCTGAAAGCATTTTTCACATGCTCCTTGAACTCCGGCACTGGGGCAGTGCCCACTGCCCTCTGGGTCAGAACTGTCCCTAACCCCCACCTGGCCCTCCCCTGACGCAACTCCATGCCTTCTCCTCAGGCCCTATCGCTGTCACCAGACAGAACAGAATCACAGATCAGCACCTGCCCCTCCACTGCCCTGTGAGGAAGCCACTGACCTAGGATCCGCAGATTTGTTTCTTACCTTGAGTCTCATTTATGTGACAGCATGCACACAATCTTTTTCTGATTTGATATGGTACCTGAGGCAGGGCTATTCATGGCCAGGAAAGGGTTTCAGTAACACAACAGGAGCAGAGCTAGTCAATTTAGGGGGAAAAAAAAAGTCAATTTTTAGAAACACTACTTCAAAAAAAAGGATGGGCTCTGAAATTCAAACTGATGAATACTGATTTTGTGAAGGAAATTAACATGTTTTTACTGGCATAGGGATGATGTCAATGAGAATGTATCTGTAGAGGTGAATCACAAAATGCAGATGAGTAATCAGAAGCAAAGCAGCATCATACTCTTAAAAATTAAGTGGGTACTTTTGACAACAATGTGTGCAGTCTGAAATAGGGGACTCGAATCCTGCTAAATGCATTTCTCTTAATTGTTTCCATTAAATACTCGGGACGCTCGTGACTGACTGTGGATCTTAAGAATCCTGACGAGTCAGGAATTTTCTAAGGTCTGTGGTTACTGTATCACCAGAATGTCCTCCAAATAAAAGGTTTCAAAATGAAGCCATTCTGACAGTGAAAGATATCTTGAAGCAGCCAAATATAAATGTGAAGATCTATATCCAACTGATATATCTGAGCATCTATATAGATATATACCAGATCTATAATCCAGCTGGCTGTAGGAGATACATCAGAAACAATAGCAGAAATGTTGGGAAGGAGTCTGTTCTGAGCTCCCAGTTGCTCTACGCTAGAAAATATCAGGATTGTAAAGCAACTGTTCTGATGTGACTGTTTGGTCACATTAGTCACAGCTAAAGGAACTTTGGCTGTGACAGGTGTATGAAAAACACTGAAAGTATGCCTCAGCAACAAGTCTGCCTGAAGGGGAATGAAAAGAGCCAGTAGCCGTTACTCCTGGAAATAATAAAAGAAAAACCCAACAAAAACCTATTAGTATTATTTGTGTTATATTACTTGATGTTCTTAGCCAAATCAGATATGGTCATAGCTTGATTTCTCTAGACGTGCAGTGTTGTACAACAGGATTTGTAAAAACGCCAGAAGAAACATTCTGCGTGCCGGTATCACCAATGTCACCAAGTGCAAAGTCATGCTGCGTGCTAGCTTTGTCGGAAATCCCACTGAATTAATCTGTAACAGAATATTCAATCTGCAGAAGCTCGTATTAGTAGTTATATGAGGAGGGGAACCAAAATGATACAGGGCAGAAATCAATTTTAAATATTGAGCGTCTTTTTGTTTCCAGGCCCGTTTAGCAATGTTATTGTCGAGAAATTAAAGCAGTTTAGCAGAAGAATGAGTTAGCGCCATGTACGTACTTATGGCTCTGAATTATGCATTGAGAAGTCTGTAATCTCCTGTGACTGGCCTGCATGTTCCCAAGCTGCGATTGTTAGATGTGTCCAAGTCAATTTGTGCAAGCCCACCAATCATCTTTCTCACTGGTGGGATCCTCCAGTGGCAGAACATGGCTGTTCATGCCCTCGACAGCACCTCCTGCCTCTCTCCCTAATTGCAGTGACAAAAAGGATGTGGTGGGAAGCCTCGGTAGCTGGTGGTGTCATTCCTAATAACGTAGGGCCCCTGACGGCTTAAGAGGCAGAAGCACGTAATGGCTCTTACAATTTGTGTCAGAGGGGTGTTTGTACCTTCCTTCCTTAGGATCCAAGCAGATCAGAATACCCACAAGCCACTTTGCATCCTTCCCCCTTGCATTCTCTGCTGCTCGGCTGCAGCTGAGGACTGGAATTCAGATGTGTCTGGTCAGGTTGGGCAGTATGGTGTGCCTCTGCTCCCAGCAGCTCAGTGGAGGCTTTCTGAATGCTGGAAGGATGGCTCACCCAGGCATTAACCAGAAGAGAATGTGTTTCTGCTTAGCATCAGCCAGATGCAAGAGGTTTGGCAGGCTTCTCCCGAGCAAACCCAGCTGAGGCTGGTCTCATATCGTCAGCATGGATCACCCTCAATACAGGATGAGGGGGATGCGTGACTAATGTTCTGGAGACGCTGGTGGAATCCAAAAGCTTCAAAAAGCAGAATAATCCATCCTCTTACTGTGAGGTTTCCCCATCATCTCTAAAACAGCCTTCCATTTTGCAGCCTTTGTTTCTCTGGAAATTCTGTATTTAAGACAAAAACTGAGCTCAGATCTTCAGATCTTCATCAGTCAGTCTGTATCCTAAGGCAGCAGAGATTACACAAGATCACTTTGGCATTCTTTAATGTTCTGAGAATAGCATAATGCAGGATGCACATCAGAGAGGTTTCTGGAGTGGGGGGAAGTGGTTTTCTCAGTGGTTTAGGGCTTTTTGAAGGCTATTGTTCATTTTACTTAATGTCTCTACAGAGTTTGGGTTTTGAATATGTAGGAAAAGTTTTTTTACTTTGCTTGCTGGAATTATTTTCTGTAGAACTAATACAGAAAGAAAATTCAATTTACTGCATAATACAAGTGAGAGAATTGCAAAAACAAAGCACTTTCAGACAGAAAGCTAATGGCTTCTCTGGTGGTAGTGATGGGATTTCCAGAAATAAATGGTGGGCTAAAAAAACATGTCTGACAATGTGCTCCTGTTAACAGTCCTGTTAACATTATCAAAACAAAAGTGAATTAAATAATTTAATGTATTATTCCCATCACTGATTATGCTAATCTAATTTAGAAATGCATATTTTGCTTTAGACCAGATACAGAGCTGATGTCTGTACCAACTCCACGGGATTGAACAAGATGAGGACCAGACTGTTTTAAGGACAGATAAAATATATTGACTGGTATAATTCTTCGTGTTCTTTCTTTCCCTTACCCTCAAGTCATTTTCAGTCTCAGGTTGCCACACGTCAGCTGGCTGCTGAAGTCCTGCATAGCACACTATTGAAAAAAAGCCTTTCAACCGAAAACTCTTCAGCTTTATTTTATTTATGACATTATGCAGTATTTCTCAGCCATCTTCTGGGGGAAGGGGAGTAAACTATCTCTAAAATTCTTTTAGAATGCTGAAATAAACAATTACAATTACTGGGATGACTCAGCAGATAAATGCAGCAGTAGTCAGCAAGGATTTTCCCTAATGGAATCATATTCTTCTTTTGCTGTTAAAAAAAAAAAAAAAGAAAAGGCAAAATAGCATGAACAGGAAAGGAATCAAATCCTTCATTATCAGACGTAGTCTTTTGAATCCTGAATGTGAATCTCACTCTTCCTGCCAACGTACCCTGCTCCTTGTTATACAAGTAAACAATTGATGCATCTTCCATCAAGCACATCTGAAGAGGAAAAAAAACAACAGCTGAAGCTTTCCCCAGTGCCTTTCCACCGAGGTTCCCTATAGTGCCCCTCATACTGCCAAACAACACCATCAAATCCAACCACAAACCTCTGTAGATGTGAGCCTGGATTATGGTATGTGTCTTTCGGTCTGTTCCCAGTATACTCACATATTTAAACCAAAATTCCTTGA